CCATCTGAAGGCTCGCTTGGTCTATCCCAGCTTAGCTTTTTGAGATGGGCAAAATGCTGCCCAAATTCCTGTCTCCTTGCTTGGTGAGCTTGCTTTCTCATAACTGGGTTGTTTATATATCCCCTTGAGCTGCCTCAGCTAGGTCAGCAAGAATAAGGGTCCAGTCAGACATAATGGTCAATCGCTCAGGAAATTATCAGCAATCAAACAACACTCAGGAAAACACCTGCAGCAGCAAACAATCCACAGTCTCCCTCTCCTGCCTCTTTCAATTCCCTTTGCTCTTCTTTCACTCACCCACATCTATAGCATTTCAATAAGGAGATTAATGAACTATGAATATTAACTAATATTCTAATAATTATCAATATTAACTATGCTGTGTTTCACTATGGGTCCATTTCAAAACCATCATGTTTGTGGTATGCCTCGGGTATTCTGCTGTTTTTAGTAGGACAGTTTCTCTTAACTTCTAGGATGAGACTGCAACTGGTTCATTGAGCAATCTATATTTTCCATATACCACCATACATTCCTACCTACCTTCTCTGTTCTGTAGCTTATTTTCATACTCTTACTCTATCTGGTATAGGAAGAAACAGGAGCAGAGCAAGCAAGACAAGGTCCAAGCTCTTGCAACATGATGGATGGATGGATGGATGGATGGATGGATGGATGGATGGATGGAAGGAAGGAAGGAAGGAAGGAAGGAAGGAAGGAAGGAAGGATTCCTGTTTAAAGTTTACCTAATTCAGATATTTCAAATATCCCTATGGTGATACAGATATATGGGTTGAATACAATATACCCACTCAAATTGCAGCTGATAGGTTACATTGCATATAGTAAGACTATATTCATTCTGGATTTGGCTAACTAGGTAAGTCAACCACGTTGCATTAAAAAGCTAAGGCTAGCTATTCTTTTTAATATCATGAACTTCATCTAGAAGCTTACTTTACAAATAACTCCAATTTAGAACAAGAGAAAACATTTTATTTTAAAAATATTTAACTGTCTAATACATTACACTTCAACAATATTTATAGTAAAGGATCTTACAAGAAACAGTTTTGATATATTAGTATAAGAAATATTCCTTATCCACATGGGGACCTTCTCTGTAGTGTAAAAACACCATATAGCTGAAATGACCATTTGCATATAAAAGCTACCAGTGATGCTAGTGCTTAATTTGCACAGTGATGTTTTTTAAAAAAAAGTCAACACAAAAACAGTACCCAAAATATACAATTAATGCAAGCTATACACAACTAACAAGAAATATAGGAACACCATTGCAAATTGATCTCCACTTGGTCAGAAATTACACATGGGAGAAGTATGACTGTTCTCTTGATATGGCTTATGAAATTAAAACACCAAAGCAATTCAGCAAGCTTCACAGATTGGAGAACTCCACCAATAATGCACTTTGAGATATTCTGATGTCAAAGCTTGTGAGCAGCATCTACAAGGGCCACGGTAAGTCACTAAAGTCAACTGGGCCACCGAGACCTGCATCTGCTTCCAAAAGGCTCATGATAACTGCCATTGCTGCCTCATCATTGCTGGGGCTGCTGGATCCTTGGTCATTGTCTATCATATCAATGCCTATATGTGAGTTTTCACCTGAAAAGACAAAAGAAAAATTAAAGCTTATAGTAGTTCTATTTGTAATCTAATTTTCATAGTTGAGAGCAATGTTCAGTTGCATACTATGTTGTTGAGCCCTCTTATTTAACAGCTGTCTTTATCTCTGTCAAATGTATACAATAAAAGGAAACACCCATATAATATAGTGTAACTGACGACACTGTAAATAACTAAAATTGGGACAAGTACTGCTGGTTACTGTTTAGACTGCCTTAAGACTTTTTCTGGGGGATGAGGTGGATTGAAACAGAAAAAAATCTTAACCTTTATTCTGTTTTATTACTTAAGAGTTGATAATATCAAATACCAATATATTTAAAATATTATGAATATTTAAGATATTAATCTTACATTTCAGTAACTTAGAAAATGACTAGGTATGCTACAAAAGTTGTAGAATTTCTCATAAGAAATAATGTTGGAATTAAACAGAAAACATCTTCCAACAAAATTACCCTCAAAGATTCCAGGGTTTTATTAATCCAATATTACATTCTACAATATGCTCATATTGTATGATATGAGCATATTTTATATATATATATATATATATCTCTTTCCTTAGAACTTTTGTTCTAGCTCTTTCATGGCAGGATTTAGCCTTAATTAGAATTTCACCTAACTATACAATGAAAGGGCTCCTGTTCTTCATTTTAATCTTCTACCTTTCATGGATTTGCCTACCAAGAATGGAGTTGTTGTCAGAATATGGATATCCTGGATTGTCTTGTATCTGGCCGGACAATATACTGGCAGGAGGAATGTCTGATGTTCCACCATTCAAAATCTGAAAGAAAATGAAAACAAAATAAAAGGCTTTATATTCAGTCCATTGTATACACTTGATCCTGTTGGGAACTATAGAAGTCTAGCATAAAGGAAACTCTTCAATGCTATCTATACATAATGATTTCAGAATATTTCTATATGTAAAATTTACCTACGTTAGATATCCATGCAACTTCCTGAATAATTTTGTAGGTTCACCTGTCAAGTAGTGGCAAAGATGACCTACTCAAGCAGAATACTTTCCTATACTGCTATGGCTACAAGTTTAATCATTCCAGAGATTTCTAACTTAGGATCCAAATTTTTGGTGAATCTTAGCCACACCCTATGTTTCATAGTTAGTAACATCCTATTCACAATGTGAAAAATCCCATGTGATTATTATTTTCCTTCTTATCAAAACCTTGTGTTGAGAAATAAAATTGATTCATGGTGTTACAAAGCTTCACATGCACATGCTTGCTGTAATAATATCATACTTCAAAAACAATGCTGTCATCAATATCACTCCTATACATGCCCCAAACAATGACACTACATTCCATGGTGCTCTATGTAAACAAAATGAAACCAGATAATTACACCATTTATCAAAACCAACATGTGACTACATAAGGTAGCGTGCACTGCCTTTTTAATTTCTGGGTAGTAGGAATCATGTCTGGGCTACATTTTTTTTAATGGAAGAATGGATTAATTTTTTTATATGTAATGTTACAGTACATTCTTATATACTATAAAGCAAACAGAAAAGGTAGAAGAAAACAAATTACAGGTAGTCCTCACTTAACGACTGTTAAATGACGGTTCGAAGTTATGATGGCCTCATAAAAAGTGCTTTGCAACCTGTTTGTGCACTTATGACCATCACAAACCATCCCAACCCCCCCACAGTTACACGATCGCAATTTGCAACCATTTTTACGATGGTCATTAAGCAAATCACCATTGTCATTAAGCAAATCACTATGATCATTAAGCGAATCACAAAGTCATTAAGCAAATTTTGGCAAAAAACATCCATCAGAGAAGCTGGATTTGTTTAACAACCACGTGATTCGCTTAATAAACATGTGATTATTTAGCGTTATTGCTTAATGACCCCCATAAAGAAGGTCATAAAATTGGGTCTGGTCACGTGGTGACTTGCTTAATGACCACCCCACTTAACAACCAATTTTCTGGTCCCTATTGCGGATGTTAAATGAGGACTACCTGTATTACAATGGTAGAGTCAGGTTGGATCAAGCTGGAAAAAACACAAACATTAAAACAATATTAAAAACACTATAGGCAGTCCTCACGACCATAATTAGGACTGGAATTTAGGTCGCTAAGCGATGTGGTCATTTAAGCGAATCATCATGTGACTGGACCTGATTTTATGACCTTTTTGTGGCAGTCATTAAGCGAATCACCATGGTTGTTAAGCAAATCACGCGGTCATTAAGTGAATCACATGGTTCCCCATTGATTTTGCTTGCTGGAAACCAGCTGAGAAGGTCGCAAATGGAAATCACATAACCCCAGGATGCTGCAACCGTTGTAAGTGTGAGCTGGTTGCCAAGTGCCTGGATTGCGATCATGTGAGCATGGGGGTGCTGTGACAGTTGTAACTTTGGGTATCGTAAGTCATTTTTTTTAGTGCCATCGTAACTAACAGTCACTAAACAGTCATTAAGTGAGGACTACTTGTACAAGGAAGTAGATATTGTAATCATCATGATCATCTATTTTCTGCAAAATATAATGAATTCTTTAGAGTTCCATAAGCACTTAATGAGCCCTTCCTATAATCAACATGGGTTGTCTTGTCCTTGCAGATCTAGACTTGGATCTATTTTGGCTTGTGAAAATTAGATAGCTGTATCATTAGAAAATTCATGTTTGTGACTGCCATAATGCCAAAATTGCTATATTTTGCCCCCTTTTTTAAAATCTAAAACCTTACGCTAGATACCCACTAGTACAGGGGTCTATTCAGATCTATTGGTAAATTTTGGATGACAATGTACAAGTAGCTTCTGACTGATAATTATACAGCAGTGAGCAACAACTGAAAAGCTTCTTTTTCCAATGTTAGACACCCTGGTTCTTAGGCATTCTGTATATTATAGGACTATCTGCCTATATCTAGTTCCACTGAACAGTTGCTAAGAAACTGATAGATCCACAGCCCCAGTTTTCTGGATCTTTGCCACTCAGAGTTGAAGCCTTCTTTAATGATACCCACAAAGAAAATAACATGATCAACAGTAACATACTGTTTCTACTCAGAGCCAGGATACCATTAATCACAATGTGCTTATGATCCTGCCTCAAATGTATTTAATAAGCCCTTCAGATTTGTGCATGGGTACTTGTCATTATAAATCAATTAATGGATTCTCAAATTTGTTACCTATTATTGAAGTATTGGTCAGTAAAGGAAACATTATTTCTATGATAAGCATTTATTAGTGCACATAGTTTTGTATAATAAAAGTAGTTTTGTTCCTTTTGAATGATGAAGGCTGTTAAATCTTTTAAACAACTTTTTAACTCCACTTAGAATTATCACATTATTATGCCAGTCTATACATTCATTTCAACAGACTGCAAATGCTACAACACATTCATTTTACAGATTTGTTATAACGGCTTGGATTAATTTAAATGGTAGATTCTGATGATGTGGCTTGGTTATTTTGAACCCTTTAAAATTCTACCACCTCACCTTTTTGCCTCCTGGTGATGATGTATCAGGGGGAGGTGTGCTGGTCATGTTCAATGGGCTAGAGCCACAACTTGAAGGGGAAGATCCTCTTATCCTGTTATACCAACAATAGCCAAATTACAAAAGGCATAAAAAAATAAAGTCATCCTAAAAATACATATTATGGCAACTCCAAAATTATAATCTGAAACCCTATATATGTGTTTAGTTTGGAGTTTACACACAATTAAGGAGTTGTCATTTGTATATTATGTTTAGCAAAATATTCCAGTACATCATAATCTCAATTTCTAGAGTACATGGTTCTTCCTCACATCATGTTCATGGTGGGACAGTTAAAGTATTCTTGTCAAGTTTTATGATTTAGTTTTTGATTTTTTCCTCCTGAAGAACATGGCTCTGATTTGTTATGTATATGCCTGGATAGGGCAAAAACAAAATAAAAATGGCAAACACATACTACATTTCCGCATGTTCCATCTACTTTGCCCATCTGGGATTACTATGATTTGGAAGACTGTATGTTGACTATTGTTCAGCATAATCAAGGAAACTATATTGTGTTATTTGATTAAACCCCTTTTACAGTTACTGCTTACTTACACAGATTATTGTGAATAAATTACCCTAAAATACTACACTGTACAAAGAAACATACATAAACAGTTACACTTGTTGTTCATGGAAAGGAATCAGCTGACCATTCAAAAATCAGTTTATTGGATTTATACTCCATATTTCTGTGAAAGGAAGATGTTAAAAATAGGAATAAAATATAACTTTCTCTAACAAATTAAGTAACATGTACTTAATGATTTTAAAATATGAGCTTTTCCTTACCTATGGATCTCCATGATTTCTTCAGCAATCATCCTTCCAATTTTACCAGCACCAGCTCTTGTTCCACCTGGAATACCAGGAACTGTGGGAAGGGCCCTTTTTGGACCACCTTAAAAAGATTTTAAAAAAAGAAAGGAAAGTGCAACTAAATAAAATGGAAAGAGAAAGGATACAAATGCTAGTATATACTTGATAATAGATGGAGTCAGAAGAGAGAACTGCAATCTACACATTTATTCTGAACACTCATACTTCTACATGTCAAATACCATTTGTAATATTCTATTGTAATTTCCTTTTTGTGTCCTTCCTTTGTTTTCAATTTCATCTTATTTCAGTAAACACTAATTTCAATGCAGTAAAGTTGTTCTAACATTATATGAAGAGCAAGGTAATGTACACCTATGTCTAAAGTGTGTTTTTTAATGTATTTCATGGTCACAGCATGCATTCCTATTGAAAGCCTGACCCCTATTAATCTTGATTCTTGAGGGCTGTTGAATGTATTTGTATGCATGGCCTTTTCCATCATGAGAGAAATCTCTTTCAAAACTCAAATTAAGTTCTTCCAGGGATAAAAGTGCTTCCACCTCTGGAAAAGAGGTAATTTCTGCTTCCTGTTACAACTCTTATGTTAACTGTATTCAATTTTCATTAAATGGCAATGAAATGAAATCATTTTTTTTTTGGTCTTGATCCTACCCACCACTTTTTGTAGCAAAGCCCCTGGTGTACTCCTGAGAGGTTAAGTGCAGATCCCAACCTAAAACAAAGTGTAGCCCTATTGCATAGGATTTAAAAGACTGCCCTGGGGTACAAAGTTAATTAATGGGCTTTTCTAGCCAAGCTTACAGCATATCACTGTAGGCTTACAGGGTATTGCAAGCCTCTTGCAGGAGGAAATCACTGAAGATGGGGAACTTTTGGCATATCTTCTCTACTGTTAAGATACATACAACTGAGAAATGCAAGCCTTACTGATCACAATTAGAAAGTCTCCCTCAATATTCTTGACTATCTTCTCATGCACCTATCACACTACCAAGGTCTAGACATACTCCTTAAATTCCTCAGCAACTCCAAATAGTTGGGCTATGTTTGGGAGAATCTTCTGCTCCTCCTTCAATATGATGTTGCAGAGGTTACTCCTCCTGATTCCAAATCATCACATAACCTCAACATACTATATCTAGGTATGCCCAGCCATTTTATATAACTAAGTACAAAGTAGGCAAAGTTAGGATATACTATAGCTCATTATTGCTAATTGCTTCAGCCTGAAGAAAAAGTTTCTTGTGGCGTTAATCAGAAGGCCCAAACAGCAGATAATCCACAGTTAATAGTAAAACATGAAACCTGAATCTATCCATGTAAAGAAAGCTAAATACTTTATCTATGTGCTTTGCATCTCAAGTGTCTTTTTGTTGCTATATCAACAAGCTGCTAACTTAAGACAGTACTTCCTGAGAAGCTACAAAACCTTTCTTTCACTGAACTCTTGGATCAGATTGAAAAACAGTTATTAGTTATCATCTGAATTGCTACATATTAGGTTTAACCAATAACAAAGGGACATAAATAAATAGACCAGTACTATTTAACAATACAATGGCTGAATCTACATGCAGACCCTTGGACAGATGCTTAAAACTTCTCTGGGTTCCTAGCTGGCTTCATACGCTGAACTTCCTTAATTATTAAAGGAAGAATAATTATTGATCCATTTAAGGATCTTAACATGGAAAGGGAAGAAAAGAGAACTATTTCCACTATATACTGTTAGGATACAATTGAAAGTTATGGTCACTGAGATTATTTTTATTTTATATCTTTTTTTTTATTTTATATCTATCTCTACAATAATGTTTTGCATTTTCACACATGGATCCTGGACCAGGGAGATATTTCAAGTTCTTTTTTCTCCAGAGAACCCAGAACATTGCTGAGTCCAGAAGAGAGAAAATCTTGCTAGTATGCATCTCTGTTTGTCTGAATCAAAGGCCAGTATGTGTGTCCTTCCTTCTGTCAAAAGGTTATACGTGATGATGATCAAGATAATGGTTCTGGTCACCATGCTTTTAACTTCATCATGTGCTAAAGAGAAATGATATTATACCAGGAGAGCATGGGGCTTTTGGTGGAAAACATCCACCACCCTGATATTTCACTTTATACTCCACATAATGTAAACTCATTTTTATTTTTGGATTAGGGACCAATTTGGGCTGTAATCTACATTGCTCAATGTTCTTGACATTTCTTAGCTCCTTGAATCTTCACCTCCTTGACATTTCTTCAGCTCTGTGAATGTGAAGAAACACTTAGATACAGGCCTGAAATATGTACTAAGCGTAACAGGTTGCGCTAAGCTGAATAAGCAAATCCAAAGAAGTTTGTTAACAATTCGAAACAAAACAGTCCTCTAATTACCTTCTCCTGCTTGGAGTACACTGTCCATGCTGTGTGGTGAAGCTGCAAGCTGTGGAAAAGACACATCTCCACCATCAAGCATATTAGCACTGGGGATTCAGAAGAAACACAAATGTATCATTTTATGTTGCTAGTTACTTAGCATAACAAAATAATTTATTGTCAACTTCATTACTGTACAACATATAAACTGTCTGTGGATACTTATCAAAGTGAAACAAGCAAACACCAACAGACACACACTTGGTGTATTCCCTATCTTGACATATAGAAAGCAGAGTCAACTATATTTTTTCACCAACAAAAGAAAAATACTTACGAAACCACTGTGTTAGTTGAGACAATATATTCTACTTCTTTGGTCCAAGGGTTCATGAAACTGAACCAACAACTCCTCAATGTAATAAAAGATCCATCTTTGACTTTAAACTTGTAACAATTAGTACTAATTTTTTCTCTTGATTGTAAAACTGAAAGAAAGGGAAAAGGATCAAGTTTGTACAGTTTTCTTGTATGTATTACAATTATAATGGTAAAGTCAAGTTATTTTTTTTTCAAGATTCCTAGATCATTTTTCTATCCAAGTTCTAGGTTTGGGGGGGAAAATCTGAACTATTTGGCTACTTTACAGATAACATTTTACCTTGTCGATGACATTCTGCAAGATGTCCTATATCATCTTGATGAAAATATTCATAACATGATGTACCTAGAAGCTCTTGTGGTAAATATGCCAAAATTGCGGTCGCCCTAAAACAGAGAAATGCTTCAGTGTTTTTACTTAATTACAAAGAAGTTGGTATAAAAGTAGAAGCGAAATTAATTTGCTATCTTCTTGTGCCTTTAAGAGATATTTAATTTACAGAAATCAGGATGTGACTTCTTGGGAGATTAACATTATCCTTCAGACAATGTCCATAAATTAGGCTGTTATTGTGTTATAGTCCATAAGAAAGTCAACAATTCTTTAATAAAACCCAATTCATTATAACCCTTGTGAAGTCATAAATTATTACAACAGTTATGCCTGAAGAAAATCAAACTGCATCTAGAATGTAAAAATCCAAATGCACCTAACATCTCAATATTTTTGAAAGCGAAATTCAAATTGAGAGAACTTCTCTATAATTAACAGCAGACATAACAAATACAAATGACTGAACTTACAGCTCAATATGAGAACCATTTCAGACAACACAAAAAAGTTAAAAACTAAATCTGATTATCTATCTATCCATCCATCCATCCAATTCGCCCTCCCTCCCTAACACAGATGGCATAAGTGCAAAACTGTTGAAATTGCATTAAAATATGTAACTGCAGATTGGGGTTTGGTTACTGACAAAATTTAATCTTTAAAATTCTCAAGATAATCCCCCCCACGCACACATATCTGTATACATACAGATAGTTAATAGTGCCATACACTGTCTTGTATATATCCATGAAATATGTTTCCCTACCTTTAATTTGCATGCTGTATTTTGCTACTAGTGATAATGTCTTTTTTGTTGCCATTACACTAGACATTTTTATAAGCAAATATTCTTTTGGCAAGAATATTCTATAACTAAAGCTTTAGATACCAATTTTTTAGCAACTATATTTCAGACCATTCCAATCAATGTTGCCAAGTATTTTTAACCTAGCTATCAGCCTAAAAAAGAAGTTACTTATACAATTATATAAAGTTTAAATAAACATCTGTCTTCCATTAAATCTTGATTATTTCTCTCAACTGGCAACTTGTACAATATTAGATTAATTCTCATTTGGTGGTATAGGATACCACCACCCAATAGTTACATATAAATACTATGGCAATTGTAGATATATTCCTTTTTTTAAAAAAAATTGCCACATAGTATTTACACAATTGAAAGTATTAGCAACCAAAAGTTCACCCAGCAATTCTGCAGCGTACATAAAGTTAAGAATGCAATGTAGGACAAGAAATTCTTACACAAGAATGCATGAGTTATGAGAGGAAGGGCTCCAAAATGAACATGGTGTTCAATGCCTATAAAGACATTGCCAGCCATTTCAATGGGAGAGCAGCATACATATGGGCTTTAAATAGCATTTTATTACAATATTAAGAGAGTTTTAAATTTAAACTAGTATTTTATAATCCAAATTTTATCCTGAGATGTATCTTTACTATGTTGTGACAATAAACCAAAAATCATTCATGGCAAATGCATCAAATAGCTATATCATATAATATAACTGTAGCTGTGAAAATGCCAGCGTGACAAAACCATACAATTTTGTCATACAATAGCATTGCCTAGAGCAGCTTCTAAATTGATCCCTCTTGAAAAGTCTGACTAGGCAAAATTCACTGTTTCATTTCCCTATCATTTCATTATAATTTGGTAAAACTAATCTACAACTTCATCATTCAACACAGGGTCATTAGGAAGATGGGTCAGCAAGTATAAGTAATTTTCCAATTTGCTGACTAGACCGAGGAGCATTTTGCTTGATTGGAGAAAGCCAAGAGTGCCTTCTGCTTACCCTCCATATTCTATAAAGCTGAGAAAAGTTCAGAAGAGAGAAGGGCAGGTAGGTCTGTCTAGCAACATCTAAGGAGGAAATACCAATGATCTCTAAGCATTCTCTGGGCAATGAACTCTAACATATGCTAAAACCCAAGTAGCTGATTTAGCTAGGCTGACCACATTGATTTTAATTGGAATTCCTTGTTTGTGGCTGTTGTCTTCCTTTGTTCTCTTGTACTCCCTTTTCCCCAATAAACTTTTTATGCCTATGGATTAGTTTAACATTGGAATTTCATTGGTTTAACAAAGGAATCTCTCATTAAAAGCTTCCTCATGAGTAACACAACATAGGTACATAGTTTCAGGATGAGTATAAGGTTTGTATTTCTGGGTTTTTGGTGGGACAATCCAAAGCACTTTTCGCTCTACTTTTTTTCCCTATGGCTATGCTGGAAGGAGAAGTTCTCAGAGGAAGAGCTCAGAATTTCAGCATGACTGGTGACAACCTACTGTAATTACTGGGAGCCTCTGAAATAAGGGGTCTGTCAGTGAGGTTTTAAATTATCTTCCCTCCCAGTACATACACACACACCTTTCTTCAAAATAACCTCAGCTTCTGCCAATCTAGAATTAGGTTGCATATTTTGGCATACAATATTTATTATTTTTCTTCTGTTTTTACAAAACACCATTTCCAGTACTCTCCGGCTTAATACACCTACTGAAAATTAATTATAGTGGATGCAACAAATTCAGCAGCCCCCTTGCATTCTCATGTGATCAGTTCCCCTTCCTTCCCCTTTGTAAAATTTGTCAATAGATCCTTCTACTTCCTCCTACATAATTATAGAGCAAAAGAAATCAAAGGAACCATTTTTAAACCTATTAAGTGCATTTTTACAACCTAATTGAAAACCGTGATCTTGTATCTCTGGGCAAGGAGCTCTCATGACTCCTCTGATCAGGCCTATGTCAGCTGATGCTGCACTTTGGTTTCTTATACTATGTTGGAAGTTGGGCAGGGGAAAGTTCACATCAGCATAGCAAAGGAAGATTGAGGATTGCACCAGTATTTCCATTTGGACATTACCATCATCATCATTCAATCGACTGTCAATATTCTTGAGCATTTTTTTTTCAAGCTTACATTTTATGCTACAAAGAGTAAACAAATTAGGATGCTCAGTACTGTTGCTCCCAACAAGCCACCTAATAGCTACCTCAAAAGATTAAGAACTATTATCCTCATAGCAAGAATTAAATGCTGTTCTTACCTCTGATCTACAAATACAAATTTGCCATCGATTGCATGTCGAGAAACATATTCTGTTGGTTTAACCCTGATTTCTCCATTTAATGGTTGAGGAACTACATGAGGATGCAACCGTCCAATTGCAACAAGACAGCTTAAATTACAGCCTTCGTTATCAGGCTCATTGTCTTCATCTAGTCCCATCTTTGTTGGTGGCCAGCTTTTTAAATATCCTGTGCTGTGGATAGTACAAAAGCTTTTGCGATCTGCTACAAAAGAAAATAAGGTTAAATAAATAAACAAATAAATAAATTCACAGCTTGGAAGCAAGGGAAACTGCATGTTGTAAACCAGTATCTGGAGACAGAGATGGGGTGGATGAGGGCTGATAAACTGAGACTGATTCCTGATGAGACAGAAATGTTGGGGATAGGTGGTTCCTGGGTATGGAAATTGAACTCCTCTGCCTTTTTTGAATTGGGTAAAGAAGAAATATATAGTTTGGGAAGTCTGCTTAGACACATTATCATCACTGGAGGCCCAAGTGTCCTCTGAGGCTGTAACCAGCCTATTACCATCTGTAACAGATGTATCAACTATGCCTTTTGCTGGACAGGCACTCCCTAACTACAGTAGTTCACACATATTTAGACTCCTGGTGTAGTGATTAAGGCACCAGGCTAGAAACTGGGAGACCCTGAGTTCTAGTCTTGCCTTAGGCACAAAGCCAGCTGGGTGACCCTGGGCCAGTCGCTCTCTCTCAGCCCTTGGAAGGAGGCGATGGCAAATCTCTTATGAAAAACCTTGCCAAGAAAACTGCAGGGATTAGTCCAGGCAGTCGCCAGGAGTCAAGACTGACTTGAAGGCAAAAAAAAAAAAAAAAAAAAAAGACACTTTAATCAGGACTGTCCTTAACACTTGATTAGGTTGCCATGCTAGATTGTTCTGAAGCAAGCTGCCAATTAGCAACCAAACCAGGAACAAACCACAATAGTTGACAGATTGCCCTAGCAGATCAATTGCTAGGATTAAAGGGGGATGACTTCTTGCGTGTGCCCAGAACCAGAGTGTCATATTCTGATTGTGATCAGGCATTCTCAGGGTACTGGCTTCACTCTGGAATGTGTTCCCTACATGATCTGTGAGGTACCAACAAGAATATTTTTAGATGCCTGTTGAAGACCTACCTCTTCACTCAGGTCTTCTTTGTAGTAAATGATGGAATAATGGCTTTTATTTTGCTGTTTATTTCCTTGTACCCCATACATTTTAAATTGAATCCTATGTTTATACCATTTTCACCTGCATTGCATTTTGTGTTTTGACATGTTGTTTTACTTAAAAAACAAACTGCACGCTATAATTATTATTGAATTCAGTATAAGCAAATTTATTTAAATTGGGATCATTTTAAGTTCTATTCATAAACCTAATGTTTTTCTTACCCATATCAGCAAGGAAAACCTGCTATCCTGCCATTCAAATAAAAGTTACATGGTTATAGCTATATTCTGCTTTTAAATTTTTAATAAGTTGACATTTTGCTCTCAATAAATAGCATTTGAAAGACCACAAAATGTTTTTATAGGACATGAAGGAAAACTACTGTTTTCCCCAACAGTTTTTCTTCATTCCAAATGCAGGCTTGGATAAATCACCACAGGATCAGAAGATGAATCCCATTTTCCAAATAACTATAACATCAAATAACCAAATATAATCTTGATTTTGCTGAATTCAATGACACAACCATCCAAAGATTCCTGGCCTTGTGAAATATGTGACTCCAACTGAGACTGTAAAAGACAACTTTCTACCCTATTTCTTTGTATACAACCTTGCAGCACCTAATGCCACTTAGACCTTCATAATACCTTTCTTTTTAGAACAGGTAGAAGGAAAGTCTTTGTCTTCTACTTTCACTGAGGGTCTGTTGCATTTCATCCTACAAAAGAATGAACGTCTTGCTCCAGAGCACAGTCGTGATGGCCCAGGTGTTATATCTGTTTTAACTGGAAGTCCAGCTGCATGAAGAGAAAAAGCATAATTCCAAATTGTTGACTCTGTCTGACCCAAGCTTTCTTTTTCAAGTCTACAAACTTTGATGAGCAGTTTATGTTTAACTGTGTCTGAGTTGTGTTACATTTTAATGGGAGGCAAAAACAAAAAACAAAAAAACAACAACCTACAGGCCCCTCTCCTAGCCCTAATACTCTTCACCATAGTACCAATAATTTCAGTGAATGGATGAAGCGGTTCATTCTCCATTTTGTAGAGGACATAAATAGGGAGACCAGGGAGAAAAAAAAAAGTAGAGCTGGAATTCATAAATGGAATTCATCAGAGAGAAATTCAAAGTTATGTATGAATAAAGAGCACCAGCATGAAATTGGAACTTATCTGGCTTGGTAGCAAAATATTTCTAAAGGATCTCAAGATTGGACTTGATCACTTCACTCGGCAGTATCATGTGACTGCCAAAAATGTTTAGTATGATTTTAGGCTGCATTAAGAGCCCAGATAGCAAATTCATCTGAGCACTGGGCACAGTTCTGTGTGATATACATTCAGGCGAATAATAAATTGAAATGGCAATAAAAATTATCAGCATTATGGAAAAGTCATCTGATTTGGAAAAAATGGAAGTTAGCAGATATACTTAGATTGAAAAAGCGTATCTTCAAGACTCTCTTGAAATATTTGAATGGCTGTCACACCGAAGAAGGCAAAGACTTGTCCTCTGCAGCCTCAGAAGAGAAGATTAGTTCTAATACATTAAACTATAACTAAACTTAAACTGTAAAGTACTGTCATCTTGTAGGACCTGTAAGGTGCTACTTCTCTGTAGCTGTGTTGAAAAAGCGTATCTTCAAGACTCTCTTGAAATATTTGAATGGCTGTCACACCGAAGAAGGCAAAGACTTGTCCTCTGCAGCCTCAGAAGAGAAGATTAGTTCTAATACATTAAACTATAACTAAACTTAAACTGTAAAGTACTGTCATCTTGTAGGACCTGTAAGGTGCTACTTCTCTGTAGCTGTGCTGTCCTGTGGGAACAGTGTTCTCCTCAGGTCCACATGGTCCCAACCCTGTCAGACTTTTGAACACTGTAAAAACATGAAATCTCTTTCAGAAGGTCCTGAGGTATGGTGTAATAATTCACTTCCTGATGTTTTTTTTGATCATTGGGAATTTGTTACCTTTCCCCATTGTGTGGTATGTATTCTAATTCTCAGTTTGTTCTCTCTATTGTTTTTATTTGCTTTTTTTTTTTACTTCAACCGTAAGCTACCTAGAATTATTTAGGTGACTGAGGTTGCATGCAAATTGATAAATAAAACTATAGCCATACTTGTCATTCACATGTCAGTGATGCACATGGGACATACAAGGAAAGAGTGTGCCTTATTTCCCTAAAATAGCTTGTGAAAGAGATACACATATGTTATGCTAAAAAAACAAATTAACAATATGAGTAGTGTGACAATGATCTAAAGGTAGATAATTTTCCCATTGTTGGGACCCTGGCAGGAGGGGTTTATCCCTTCCTCAGGAACATGCTGCTTTTTAGGGGGAAGAGAAAGAGAGAAACGAATAAGAAAAAGGAAAAAAAAAAAAAAAAGGAAGATGTCAAATCATACACAGAGGTCAAAGTAACATCAACAAATATCTGGAGAAATCCACAACTCTAGTTATATCAAAACAGTAGTGTAACCAAAGATCAACTCTCTCTTTCTCTCTCATATTGTTGAATGTTATATACAACCTCCCATATAAAACGAACTATACAAGCTATGAGAAAAATAATTGAAAGTTTAAAATATTAATAATTATAATAATTATAAATATTAATAACAGAAAGCTACAGAATTATTATAGGACTACTGTCTACAAAGAGTCCCAAGATGATTCATAACTAATATTGCCATACATTCTCCTAAACATGGACCTTGAGCTTGTCTGAAGGTTCTAGCAGAGGAGCAGAGCTAACGTATACCCTTGATCCAAGAATGGGACACTCTTCTTATTTGAGATTGCTTAACTCTTCCACCCAGGGTGCAGCTTCAGGAGGGGCATGCATGAAGCAGTGAGGGAGGGATACCTGCCTAGCCAGCCAAATCAGCCAAATCAATCCTGGCGATCAGTGGGGTGTCAAATGTTGCAGCCAGATCACCCTCACATCCAATAATATTAATTCTAAAACTACAGCTAACATAATATTAATAATGATATCTTAAATGACTGTTTACAGTCTTTTGTAATCGAGAAAATATAAAAGCCTCAAATTTTTAAAAATAACTATCTACTGTTATAAAATTAATGAAGTATTTTATTCTGTACTATCCGAAAATAAAATAAAAATAAAATAAAAGGGCAAAAAGTTACTCTAAAATTGGATGAACTCTCCAAGTACTCACTTTTTGCATCTATGAGCCTTTCTCGTGGGGCAGTATCTGAAGAAGAGAGCTGTTCCTTAACTTTGGCAATATCTTTAGGATGTAGGTAATCAAACAGACTCTGGCCAATCAGATCATTCTATCAATACAAAATACATACAACTAGTACAGTCATTAAAACATGCTGTGATGCTTTCAGCAAAGAAAAGTATTAGCAGCTCTTTGTTTCACTGTTTTCCCACTGTTTCTTCAAAGCAGTGGGAAAATGAAGTATGATTGCTTAATATATTAACTGATTAAATGTAACAGGTTTCATACCTGAGAACAGGGAGATATATTTATTTGATTTTTATTCAATTTTAAGGCCGCCCAATTCCATAGTGATTAAAAGAAAGCAAAATATATCAAGAAGAAAAAGAAGACAGCTCACCAGAAACAAACAAAAAAACCAACCCTCCCCCCAAAAAAACAAAAACCCAAGCAACCAATAAGCAACCAAAGGGGCTCATCTCCCATCCTAGCTCAGAGCTGGAAGAACAACCAGCTCTTAAGCAATTTGCTAAAGGTCTTTTCAATCCATAAAATATAGATAATCATGATTATTTAAGCATACTGTATATCTGATTATATACACAATTACATTTAGAGTCATACTCCAAATGATGCTAAACTATAACTTCTAGCATTTCTCCCAATAAGCTATACTAGATGCGTCTGTTGAAAACTCTAGTTAAACACTTTCCATTCCTGATTTCTTCAAACAACATTTTTTATTTCTCTTTTATCTTCCATTTTTTCTCCCAAATCATGCAACAGACAACAACAACAACAAAATACCTGACTATAATTGAGGATTTTGAAGACTGATTCTGAAACAAAAAGTATCTTCCCTCTGTCACAACCCACAACGAAGAGAAAGCCATCTGCTGCCTAATGGGATACAAATAATAATAATAATAATGTCTTATTTACATATTTTTGGAACTAATTATAATTTTAAATGCAACTGAATTACACGTTTTTTCTCTGAAGATAACAAGATTAACACATGATAATAAAATGCTAATGCAGATCTGCTGACTTTTTCACTGTCTCAGCAGTGCTAAAAAACAAAAAGGCAGTATAACATGGTGTCATAGCTAAATATCTAATTGAAAATATATAATCCAGTGACCTTAAAATATATTGATTTAAAAATGAAACAGCAAAAATAGCTTTTCTCTCTTTTTTTAGGGTTCCCATGGGAATTTTTTTTTTTTTTAAATGAGAGGAAGATTAGGCAATCCATTCTTCCTCCTCTTTCTGTTGTAAATCTTTGCAGATTATTAAAGGCTGCCAGGAGTAGTTCCAATGTGTGTCTAGAAAGGCCACAGAAACAGAGGAGGCAAAAATGCCTAATTTTAATTATATGATTGCTAAAAGGGTATTCTAGGAAAGAGAGAAAAAAAGTATTTTTTTTAGGAATAGGTCACTTTAATTCAAAGCATCCTCCAAATTGTTATTTTTGTGAACTGTCATTCTGTATGTTTTGGAAGAGTTTATATGCCATAATCACAGATACAAAGCACAACAATGAAACTATGGCTTCAAATAACCTAGAGTCTGTACACTGTGGACCTGCTGAGGGATTTACTCAACTTCTTCCAACCCAACCCCTTCCATATCTGTTGTATTTCAGTGGCCCATCAACACTAGGCAACATAGCACTGGGCTAACTGTCTGAAGACTATGGTAGTCCAACAGATCATTTGTCTTATTAGGAAGAGCGGATCAATCTTCCATGAGAAAGTGACAGGGGCTCACTCATTTGGAAAGCGAAGACAGCCATGCTGGTCATAAGGAAAACAAAAACAAAATATAAATGACAGTAGTGTAATATTACCATTAGGCCAACTCAAGGATTCAAAATGATCTGTATGTGTTTGGCTGCCTCAACACTGAGGATGGTTGCTTTGCATTCTGCAAAAACCCCTTCAGATGCTTTGCACAGCTATAATAAGAGCCTCTCTGCTTATGATACAAAAAAGCAAACTTATTAACATTGATGTGCTAAAACAAGGGCAGCGTAGATTTTCCAGTAAAGTGGGATTTTAAATTAATAGCCAATAAACTGACTGGGTGGTAGAAGGTTGTTGCACACTTTGAAAAGGATCTCAAAGAAATGCTTTGGAACTGGGGCAAGCACAGCACCTATTCTACTACTCATCAGTGCAGTCAGATTGCTCGTTCATGAGTAGCAGAGAGATGCTGTATTAGCATAAGTTCCAAAGCACTTGTTCCAAATCATTTCAAGGTGTGTACAGCACAGCAGGAATGAAAAAGTATCAAATAATTCAGAATCTGTTAAATTTATAAATTGGTTTCCAGACTAGAGTTGCTAACACAGGACGTTATGTTGACATGACTGACACAACCCTTCAGGTAGGGTTGCTTTGCTGGCCCCACATGCTTCACAAACCAACCCTTTAAATAGTTTGCCCTCTCCTTGCCCTTATGCTGACAAGACAACTGATGAAAAGGTGACCAAGGTTTTTTGCTTAGAGCATCCACCTGCTACTTTGAAAGAAACTAGTCAGTGTGTCTGGTAAAAGAAAATCGTCTCTTTCATCACCCCTTATATACATTCATGCATCCGAAGCTTAAACATACCCTAAGAATTAGATGCTTTAATTCATCATCTGAGAGAAAAGCAGGTTTGTAGTTTGCCTCAGTGTATGGATTTGTAGCACCTTAAGCCAAAAGAAAAATATTTTAAGTAAACATTCAATCATACTATGTGGAACATATGTTAAACTCCCATGTATGCAACTATTTTCAGTATCTTAAGCTATTTTCAGTATTCTCTGCTTGAAATTCTAAAATAGATTTGATATTGTCAACAGTCACCGAGCTACACTTTAATTCTGTTTAAGTTTGCAATCAATGTATCCAATAATACCACGATCAACTGTCATGTTTATTTTGTGCTTTTCAGCAACAGGAAACCATTACTAGCTAATCTGAAACTCACAGAAAACAGCAGCTAAGAACATTTTCTCAGTCACAAACTCCTTAGCTATCTTCAGGCATACCTCCATTCTCCCAGTAGCTTTTAGCAAGAGGGCAACAATAATGTTACCCTCCTTACTGTAGCCTTGCAAGTATTCCTGAAACAACATCCAAAGTGCTTTGATTACTCAAAAGCACTCAAAAATTTGTCAGTACCTAAAGCCCATATATGGAATCATTCTACTCACACATTTATTTTAAACTTACCTCGTAAAGTCTTCATGTGCTGAACTGCCATTCTCAGAACAGTAAGTTTATCTAGCTTCCTGGACATAGCATTGCATGTTGGCACTAAAGAAGCCAATTCATCAATAAAGCTGTTCATCTTATCACGTCGCCGTTTTTCAATCTGACTGTGAGCCTCTCTAAACAATCATGAAATAAAAATCACGAAATTTTCAGTAGTCAGTGTTATACTGCAAGCCTTATCTACAGTACTTGTACGTAGAGTGTGATTATGAATATGGACAGTTTCTATACATAAATCTTTATTTATTAGCTGCTCATTGGAGTTGGGCAGCTAATAAATTTAAATAAATAAATAATTTGCATTGGGCTCATGATCAAAAGTTTGATCAGGTCTGAAACAAATTACATGGGGAAAAAAAGCCTTGTATAACTTTGGATTTCCAACAGCATTCTCAAATAATCAGGAGCAGATATTACATACTGCAAGATGAATATTAATAAATTCATGCCAAATTGTAGCACATCTATTAATTGTATAAATCACTTCTTAAACTGTGACATAATATTTTTTGTAGTTAATTCAACTCCTTTTTTCAAATTCTAAGACTTATTTTAAGATTGCCATCTAAAGTTTGGACACATTAAAGAGGCTATCTGTAAAGCAGGATGTCAATGCAAGTTATTCTATGAGCTGATGACTGAAGACTGTTGTGTCCAATAGCTAAATGTAAGTACAGATAGTCCTCAACTTAGAACCACAATTGGGACTGGAACTTCAGTCACTAAATTATGTGGTCATTAAGTGAGTCGCTCCCAACTTTACGACCTTTTTTGTCACAATCATTAAGTGAATCACCCAGTTGTTAAGTTAATCTGGCTTTCCCCATTGACTTTGCTTGTTGGAAGTCCCCTGGGAAGGTTGCAAATGGTGATCACATGCCCCGGGACACTGCAACTGTCATAAATACATGCTGTTTGCCAAGTGCCCAAATTTTGATCACATGACCGTGGGGATGCTGTGACAGTCATAAGTGCGAGACTGGTCATAAGTCACTTTTTTCAGCGCCATCATAATTTCAACAGTCATTAAATAAGTGGTCATAAGTCAAGGACTACCTGTACAGTGTTTTTTTTTAATATAGTAATATATTCTAATATTGTCTAAAAATAAAAATTAGTACCGATGAATGTCAAAACTTTGTAATAAGAAAACAAGCATGTAAACTCCATTTAGGAATGGGTCTAAAAAAACTGCATTTATCACAACTTCTGCTTAGTGTTAAAAATATTGTCATTACTTTACCTTGCATTTTTTATTCTGCCCTGTTGGTCTGTATATTCCAACCTAGTGGGAAGCAAAGAGACAAAAGTCAAGTCTGATAGCAATGTTCTATTTATCATGTAGCAGGAGAAAGAAGGGATCAAAGAAAATCACATTCAAAGCCTCCTTGAATATGTGGCACTAGATGCAATGTCATTGATGTCATTTCAATTTCAGAAGGATCACCATGTGTATTCTCTCACCAAGGTTACCATTTCTTTCTCACTGGGTACTCTATTAAGGTTTGATACTCCAGTAGGGTTAATCTGCGCCTTTGAACATTCCTAGATTCCCAGAGATCCTATGTATATTCCACATGGAGCAAAACCATCCTTTCATCTCCTACTTCAGAATAATCAAAACTTTATATTTTCCAAAATCCAATCAATTTGTCAATGATGAACAAATAAATACCTTCCATGTTGATCATCCTTATCTGTATCCATGCCTTCTCTATAAAATCAAAACAAAAGAAAAATCAACATGACATTGAATGAAGTAAAAATTATAACTTCTTATACCATGTTGATAAAACACATTCATACCATTAGAACCAGATGTAATGACATCGTGAATATATAAATTATAGTGGGAAATAAGCTGTTGAGGGGCCATGTACAGGCATTTACTCCCAAAATGGCTAAACCTGACCATACTGTTTTATACTATGATGCACCCCTTTTAATAATAATAAAAAAAAGAAAACCAAGTTTAGCAGAAGAGATCAACAAGGATCAAATAAATAGTAATGTTGATGGCTACCACAAAAAACAGCAAGGTTATCTCTAATTCTTGGCTTCCTCTAAGTAGTATCTTTTGTTTTGCACCAATGCAGTGCAATACGTCTGCCTTCTCCCACCATCAACAGCCATCAATGCTGGATTGTTGTTGGGGATGGTATATATAAAACAAAGCAAGGGTTTGTTTTGCCCCCCAAAAAATCTCATAATGAGGCATATATTCCATTACTATTTGAAGCAGCAGGTGCATTTTACTAAAACAGAAATAATGTGTGCACCAATATATAGTACTCATTCAGTTGAGAGTGAGTACCAGATGTGTAGAACTTTCTGCTCTCTAATTCATAAAACATTTAAGTTTTCCCATTGACTGTTCATAAAAAAATAGCAAATGATGAAACAGAGATAATCCAAAACTATGTAGGCATACCAAAGGCATGGCTAAAAATGGGAAGACCCAGAAAAAAATGGAAAAAGTTTTGGTAGGTTTTCCTGTCCCCACCCCCTGAGCAGGGAGAAGTGAAAACCAAGAAGTGGAAATTCTCCCTTCCTCAGCCCCTCACATCTGTAGCTTTGGCATGCCTAGAGTGATTTTATGTTATTATCATCAGAGTATGAAACACACATATATAGTATATTATATATATTGCTAGAAGAACAAAATTTTCATAATTCATGTGAGATTAGCTATCAGTTTTTCTAGTCCCAGGGGAAATATACAATTTGATTTTTTGTTTGAATGATAGGTTCTACAGATGTTTATCTTTCTCTCCTGTCAGTGTTGAGACACTGTGGTGTTATGTAGCACGAAGGACAACTGTGGGTAAAGGTTTAGTCATATAAACCTATGCATTAAATTGCCAATAATCATTTATAGATTATATTACTAATATATAAAATGTTTTAAAATGCAGAATTATTTATTCCTTTCTATTCATTAATACTCACCAAACCCCAAGATTCCAACAACCTAAAAAATGGTTTTATAAACTTGTTTCTTTGAAATTCCTTCCTTGTTATATCATATTACTCTATAAGGGTTTAAAGTAGGTAAGCAGTGATGTAAGAAAGGGGAAAAGACAACATTCCAAAATTGACCGTTGCTCAAAAACACTAAATGTAACTGATTTGGGATAGATTTTTCAACAATTAAACTGGAACTCTTGAACTGTTCAAGGGATCCCCTATCTCTAGCCCAGATGGACATAACCTGAGACTCTCAAGACTATATGTGATCACCTAAAATTCTGGTGTAGCCTCTAGAGAATTGACATGTTAGTTCTTAATGTTAGTTAGTTCTTAATGTAACAGAAATAAATTAGTAAATATTCATTTATGTAATTCATTGAACCACTTTTATCCCACCTATTTTTAAATTTAACTTAGTCCATATCCTGTCGACTTTTTGGAATATGGACTTAAAACTAAATATAGTTCTCAGTCTGGAAAAGACTGCATATCTCTGGTCTACGGCAAGTATTAGAAAAACTGGAGGCGGGGGGGACTGAAAGAAGCAATCATTCTTGTTTAAAAAGCCAAGGGCCACAAAAAAAATTGGCATGGCCATGGAAAACAAAATGGGGGCAAAATGGATGTAGGATAGAGTAGAAATTAAATACATGGCTAAATGTTCTGCTCTCAACAGTGTCTATCAGCAGTGATTTATTAACCTCTCTTTTTAATCCTAAATCTTTTGGCAAACTATTCAGAACATAAGAAAAAGAGAAAACATATTTCCAAGAGATTTGTCTCATTTACAGAACCAATGTGAATGAAACATTGGAGGTTATATTAAACCTTACAGGGCTATGTGTGATCCCCAAGTTGCAGGTTCAGCATTTTCTAAATGAGGTTATGGTTTAGAGACTATTAGGAGCACAAAGCTAACAGTTCAACTGCAATCTATACTTGCTTAAACTGAAACTTTTCCTATCAGTTGTATATGCTCCCAAATACTTGTTTTTTAAAGATATTGTATCAGGATTATAAAATTTAGTGCTATTCAATCTATTTCACATTGTTCTTGCTTTGAGGCATTTTTAAATAGACAATTCTATAACAGGATTCCCCCACCGTCACACAATTTTTATACTTACTCAAAAGAAAACCCATCGAGCCTGAAAAGAGATAAATTATACATTATACTATTAATAAAAATGTCTATCTACATACTGTCCATTCATTTTAATTTCCACTGTTAGCTGCAAAACTGCACTCTGGAGAAAGATACTTATTAAGCAATCCTAGCGGTATTCATATGCACACCTAAAAAATATGTATGAATGCAATGCTCCTTGCAGTCAGTGAATTATGGAAATATTTTTCATTTTTGCTGTATTTGTTCCAGCTTTGAAAAAAGTACAACTGGAATAGTGATGAATCTTGAATTTTACTTTTAACTATCTTCAATATATAAGTAAAGTTTCTTCTTAAGTAGTCCTTTTCATATTTTTTGTTCTTTAATACAGACATTTGGGACCGGGACTTCTTAGTCTGCAAAGCAAGCCACTTATACATGAGCACACATTCACTTTGCTATGTTGTGGACTAACAGATCCATGCTGGCACTTTATGCAGGTTGAAAAAGACCTCATCTGTTTTGCTGAAAGTAAAGTGCACATGTCAAAACAGAAGGCACAGCTGAAGGGTGATACGGGCTGGAAACACTTACTGGTAATCAGTAGAACTTCCTTTCCTTTTTCTGTTACAATCCATTCCTGAAGAGTTAAGAGAACTAGAGATCAAATCAGTGGGACCAGGTGACATAAAATCACTGATCGTAGAAGAAATGTCCATCCTTTGGTCAGCCATTGGATTGCCTAGAATTATTAAGGGGAAAAAGAGAATGGAAGTTTGGCTTACTGATGGACTACATCACAAAAAACGTTGTTTGATATAGTTACATAGTCCTTTCTACTCTAATGCTCTGTTAATTTATTATTTCATCTGATAGCATTCCTATGCATCAAGCAGGAAAGCAATGTTCTTAGCCTGCTAGAAGGAACAGATAAGAAGGTCCCATGCTATATCATGCTACCCAAGATGTTCTTGGGGAGCTCACAAATAAGACAAGACAGAGAAAGCTATTATTTATTTGTCCCAAAGGCTCTAAATATAGTAATTTGATTGTGGCTAACTGCTAATGATAGATCTGTAATTTATAACACTGTAATGCCAATTGATAGTTGGCTGACCCAGGGCCCATTAATAGTTCGTAACTGACCTTGGGAAGCACATATTCCACATAAGTCAAAATCCAATTCTCTTGCTCTTGGGACAACTGCTGAATATTGATGTAGTTTGTAAAAAAAACAACAAAAAATCAGGTGAACCTAGTAAGAGCTATGTTATGCTTTCTATGCAATACGTTAGCTATCACAATATTTGTTAATGTTATGTCTTTCACAATATTATGAGATCCAGGGTAGTGTCATGGTTAAATGGACTGGACTAGAAACCAGGTGACTGTGAGTTCTAGTCCTGCCTTAGTCATGGAAGCCAGCTGGATGACTTTGGGCCACTTTCCCTAACCCTAGGAAGAAGACAATGAAAGACTTATGAAAAATGTTGCCAAAAAAATGGTGTGGATTTGTCTATGGAGTTGCCAAGAGTCAAATCTGACTCAAAGGCACAAATAAATAAACAAAAGTATCAGTTGATAAACTGAAGCTAGGATAACAGGATTATGGTATGAAACAAGTAATTCAGGATTTTAGCTACTTATGAATTTACCAGAGTTGAAGTAGCATAACATGCTCATATTCCTAACAAATGTGCCTGTAGCTCTTGGAATGCACTGGGTAATTATTTGATGTCTCTAATTAAGAAATAAGAGAAGAAATTGAGAGAATTAATTTGGAAAAAAAAAGCACACAATTCATAAGAGAAAGAAACAAACAGGAAAAAATTAAAAATAACTTTAAAAGTTCTAAACAAATTTAAAGGGGCAAAAGTGGGGCAATACAATTGATTTTAATTATAGTTTCGTCTAACATCTGAAATAAGAACACTTAGGTTTCTCTTTTTGTGACAGATAAGATGATTATACAACAGTGCTTAAGTCTTGGTGGCTTTGCTTACCTGTAAAAGCTTGATCTCTGTAATCCTAGATTCACTCTGCAAAGATGTGCTGTTCTACTGTTGCCAATGGCAAAGCAACCCAGTTACCTTAACTGTCCTTTCATTTCCTCCAGTCTTGCTAGTCAACACTTTCAAGGTGCCTGTGTGCTAAGAAAACAAATATCATGCTGTCAATTTACTACTACCCAATCACTGGATATAGTCTTTAAACAAACAAAATAGAATTTCTCTGGATAAATTAAAGCAGTCCATATGATCAAAAGTACAACAAAACCCTTGGTCTAGTTAAAAGGAGCCTCAGTTAAGGCTCTTATTGTACATGCATTTCACAGATCCATGTTAAATTACAGAGTTGCTTACATATTGGTTGCTTTTGCTGACCTGAAACTATGCTAGTAAAACCTTTTACTTACTCACTAGTCTCTAGCTGGGCACTTTCGACAGCCAGAAAAAGAAAAAAAAAGAAAAAGACTATCATGCTTACAAAACCTGTTAATGGAGGAGATTTTGTTTTGCATTACAGATGAGATCTGGGCATAGAAGAACTGGGTCTCTATCTTAGGTAGGTATTTGTAGGATCTCTCTGCTCATATTGGAGTTACGTGAAGTGACTCACTACACGGAGTTAAAGGCATAATATACAGAGCTGCAGTCTTCATCAATACAAAGAGGTTTTCTTCTCTATTGCTTCACCTAGTAGCATCCCACAAAATCTGCAGTAAGGGAATGACTGTTCTTCTGGATGGGCTGCAGGCAATCCCCCTTCTTCCTGACCATCAACAGAGGAAATCATCCAAGATAACCTAGTATTTTATGAAGTAGATGCATTTATTCAAACAATATTCTCAGACTCTTGCTGAGAAGCAACAGGTCCATGACTTTTTCCTAAAGGATGCTTTCAAGAGCATGTTTTTCTCATATTTTAGTGTATTTAGTGTATAGAGTATCATGATGTCACATAATCAATCAATGTATTTTATATATATACATAAAACAAGTTATATGAAATGCTGCCTGCAACTCATTTTAATGTAAAATAAAACTGCAGAGTGCCAGCCCAATTTAATTTTTTTAAAAAAAATCTTAGATGTGAAGAAACATGAGTTACTTATATATTGTATATTTAATGGATTTATAAGGCCACCCAACTCAAACAATGTGACTCCAGGTGGCCTACAACAAAAATAAACCATAAACAGAAGATATAAAATCTTTGCTCGAAAATCCCAGTTTTCCCCATCCAGTACCGTTGAGAATGGTTTTAAAAAGATAAAAGCAGGATTACTAAAATTCTCAAATTAAATGTTTCCTATTACTACCTGGGAGGCCTTCTAAGTGCCAAAAACACTTGTATAAATTATTTTTAGAGGTAGCCTTGGGCACCAGTTTTTAAAAGATTAGCATTCCGTGCCTTGCATAATGCACATTTCACATACACACGCCCTGGTAGCTCAGTAACTTCATATGAATATTGTAAAGAAACCTGCAATGTTAACTAACTGCATTCCATATTTATACTGAGACAAAATCTAAAGAACATCCATTAAAATACGATCTACCCTTACTGCCAATACTATTTTCCACTACTTTTACTACCCTTTAACATGTTTAAGTCTAATTGTTCATTAGATTTTCTAATTGATTTATTTTGTTAGATTGTTAGATTGTTCATTAGATTTTATCATATTGTATTTTAATATAAGTACAATTGCTGCTGCCAAGAAGTACAAATTGAGCCTGTTAGCCTGACATTCTTAAGCTTTTGTTTACTTGATATACCAATAAAGTAATTATATATACTGAACTGGATCCAAATCTTTTGTTCCATGAAGAAAAGGGCTCCAATCTGCATAAATAAGCCCAACCCAGAAGATCTTTAAATCAATTATTTTCAAAGACTGAAACAGGAAGAACAATTTATTCCTAATTCTTTTTCCTCTGTAGGACCCTAAGCCACTCCATATTGTCCTATCAAGTTGCTCAGTACAGGAAGTCCTCAGTTAACGACCATTCATTCAGCAACTGTTCAAAGTTATGGTTGTACTGAACGAATGGTTGTTACGCCCAGTCCCCAAAGTTACGGCCATTGCAGTGCCCCCACAGTCACATGATCAAAATTCATGCTCTTGGCAGCGCGCCCGCACTTACAACCACAAGGGCACTTCAATTCCCCACCCACCTATCTCCTCCCCACCCACAGCATGGGAAGAAGGCCTGGTGCAGCCAGCAGCTGCCTTGCAAAGGGCCAGACCAGACACACCTTGTCAGCAGCGGGAAGAAGACGGTGAAGGTCAACTGGGGGTGGCAGGGCCAGCAGGACCAGTGGAGCACAGAGAGGCAGGGCCAGCGATCATGTGACCACAAGACACTGCAACTGGTCCTAAATGTGAGCTGGTTGCCAAGCGCCCAAATTGCGATCACGTGACTGCAGGGTGGTGCGATGATTTGCAATGGTCGTAAGTGTAAGTACAGGTCATAAAGCACTTTTTCTGAGGCCGTCATAACTTCAGACTGTCATTAAACAAATGGTTGTTAAATGAGGACTACCTGTATTTTATTTTTAGCTCAAAGTGAAAACAATATATTTTTAAAAATCCAATTTAGAAAGGTAGGTTTAAAAAGCATTCTTGCCATAACTATAAATCTATAAACTGTTTATAATCTCTGCTATAATTCATTTTAAATGACAAGGCAACAACTGTCCTTTTTATTGTAATATAATGAGATGCTGTCAATAGATTTCTTTCTCTTGTTTCTTGAAGCACTATAAAAATACTCTGAAAATGAGGTAACAGTTGCCTGCTGTAACAGACTGCAAACACACACTAGAGTTTTTCATGTTGTGACCAAAGCTTGTTGCCAAGATACTTCCAAGGACATTCTCACATGAGGACTCTGCTATTTTCTCTTCAGTATTTCATCTTAAGCATTATTTTTTTTTGAGAGAGAGAAATGGTAAAATAAAGGGCCAAGACCTAATATACAGTATGCTCATATATGCTCTCTTCCCCCTCCTCCTTACCCACATAGAAGACAGCCTGTATCTTGATTTGGGGCTTCTCTTTACGGATTGCCTCTTGTCACAGAATCAGCTTAATCATGCAGCAAATCAGATCATAAGCATCAAAACACCTCACTGAGCAAATCAAGGTCAGAACTACAACCACAACCATAAACAGCCTGCCAAGACTCTCTCTAAGAAGCAGAATTTCAACAGGCAATGCATACACCTCCCCGCCTGCCTACAACAGCGTTCTTAATCCACATCCAACAAAGCCAAATTCTCAAGCCCACGAACCATGAAAACAATATTTGTCAAATACTATACCAACAGTGTCTGCAGGACAGCTTTTCAGATAAGGAATTCAAAAGCAATGAAGGATATGCAGGCTTTCACTGCACGCACTGACATGAAGATGAAAAGCTGCAAATATACAGTATGGATCTTTGTTCTCCATATGTTTGAAAGTGTCTCTTGAGTTGAAAATGGTTAAGAAAAGCTTTTCTCGGTCAGAGCAAAGGTTCGGAGGCCTGTTTCCCATGATGGACTTCAGGTAGCTCTTGTTTAACTACAGTAATTGGGACCGGAATTTCTATCGCTAAGTGATGCAGTCGTAAAGCGCAACGTCACACTACCGTATCACTTAGTGATGGCAATCCTGGCAGACCCATTGCCATTGTTAAGTGAAAGTTGTGGATCATTAAGTGAGGACCTCAGGTGACTGCGACTTGCAGTTTCTTGACAGCTTCCTAGCAGCAGTAGCTTTGCTGGAAGGAAGCT